CATTCCGACCCCCCATTTTTCTTCTGCCTAAGTTATGACAGAGAGTTCACATTTTCTTTAAATTGTCTGATTTTTTGGCTGCTGTCATACTGCCTGTCAATCTTTTACCCACAGCTACGGGCAGTCAACTTACTCTGTCGGGACATACATATGTATACAAGCAAACCTACAAACCCGCAGACAAACCTACTCAAAACAATACTTCCGTACCGGAAAGTAATTGTGTTCTGAAAAAAAAAGTAACAAGAAAGAATCATTTTCATCTTACATTATCAATGTTTGAGTAAAATTTCCAATAATAACGCTCATCTCATTTAAACAAGTGTGTTACACGCTTTGAAGAATAATATGCCAAACATTCTATATATTTTTTTGGTTGGTCGAAAGAAACATATAGCATTGATCTTGCAACTGTTTTCACGAAAGATTGTAGATATTAAGTTTATTATCCCTTTTTATGACATTGTCTCGGCGCCTATCCATGCCCCAAGTGAGACAGCCACTTTTTTTAAAAGTACGAACAAGGTATTGGTATTAAAAATCACAATGGCAAAGGCATTGGAAGCTTACGATTTTCCATTTTCGAATCTCTGCCCGAGACAAAACTCGTTATATTGTAAATTTTCCAAAGGAATCGTTGCATTCAACAAATTGAGTTTCGATTTTGGTGCGCCGGTGAGGTAATCTGTGATTGCAGTTTACCTGGAAGCTTTTGTTCTTTTACTAACCAATTTTGCACTTTTAACTAAATGACCACCTCCAAATGAGATTATTCTGTATCTTTACAATCGATATAAAGTGTGCAGTGCTTCCTAATTTTGTCTACCGGCCACCAGATCTAGTTTTAGAACCATTTGTGAAACCTTTCTTGCCTAACTTACAATTATGATGTATGTGGAATGTTGAAGTTTAACGCCCATTGTGTGTTTTGGAGAATTACGTTTTTATCTAGAAACCTTTTTTAGTTTGCTATTAAAAATTTTAAACCTCAAACCTTTCTTGTCCAACACACAATTGAAATGTATACGTGCAAAGGCATAGGGTAAATGTATGAATCAGAGATAAAAATTGATAACCACCATACTTTCATACTTTCTATTGTTGCAAGTCTGTTAGTGATATAGTTCCATAATTCTTAGTTTTCAAAAATATTGGACATACATTGTCAATTTTGAGTTAATTTTGTTAATGAATTTTGCTTGGAATTTTCCCCCTCAGGAACCTTTGAAAATCGCCATCAGGCGACGTGTGTATGCGTTTTTCTTGATAAACATACAAACAAACAAACAACAAAGAATTTTGCTTGGGGTTTTCCCCCTCAGGAACCTTTGAAAATCGCCATCAGGCGACATGTGTATGTGTTTTCCTGGATAAACAGACAAACAAACAAACAAACAAACAATGATTCACCCAGAGAAACTTTCGAAACTTACTTCGAAATGTCTTCAAATGATGGATCCCTATTTTCAAAGTTCTCCCATTAGACGTAAATGTTTCATTATCTACGTAACCGCAGGAAATAGACGCTATGTGATGAAAGCCGTCTAGAGATAAACCAAGTGAAGAAGAGCTTGTCCAAGATCTTATCTAAAGGTTTGGTAAGATGGCACAGGGAGCTAGGTTGATAACAGTAAGGGATATTGATTATTTTCTGAAGACTACACTGCTACGCTGAGTAGTTCGGTAACCCTTGCACACCAATAGATGCTATCTATCGAAGCTTGGGGGGACATTTTGATGATAGTATTCCGCAGAGTTTATAAAGAACACCTGAGGCTGTAAGCCACAAATTGCGTGCTATAAGCACGACATAGTTTTTCATCAAACCTTGTTACGAACAAAAGTCTTACATATAGTAGTAATACCTTGAGGTACGCAAAAATTTGTTTGATAAACTCCTTAGAGCCCTACCGAAAGCAAACGTAAGTGCAATATTGAGTCACACATTACATGTTAAGTCAATCTTAACTTGTTACCCTCCCCATGTCTGGCCCTTTTCAATGCTTGAGAAGCCCTTGCTGTGTGTTCTTTTTTGCACAAACAGCAAATGAGTGAATACATGAAAATACATAGATAATATGTACTTAAGCACTAAGTGTTGATTAACACAAGTGGCTTGTGAATTTACAGAACTTACATTATATACAGCGACTGTTTTCCGACAAGATTGTAGATATTATTATGCTTATTATCTCTTTTTATGACATTGTCTCGGCGCCTTTCTATGCCCCAAGTGAGAAAGCCACTTTAAAAAAAAGTTAGAACAAGGTATTGGTATTAGCAATCACAATGGCAAAGATATTGGAATCTTACTGGCCCTTTCCAATATTTGAGCAGCCCATGCTGTGTGTTACTTACTGCCGAAATAAAAAAATACATGAAAATAGAAAGATAAAACGTACTTCAGCACTAAGTGGTGATATACACTGGTGGCTTGTGAATTTACAGAACTTAAAGGAATGCTTTGTTATTCGAAAAAAATACCGAAACTTATGATTAGCCCACTCGATTGTAACACATTATCAAAGACAAGTGCTAGCCCGTACTGTCTGAATAATTATGATATGTTAGGTTTTATTCGATATAAAGTCTTATCCAACATTTTTTTTATTGTTTGTTACTCTCTGTATGTAGTTTGCTATACATTGTACCTTGTGCAATTGTCGTGCAACAAAGTTCTTCATTTAGATATACAGCGATGGACGTGTCCTTGACTTCTGCCCTTTCGCCCTAGCCTGCCTACACGGACAGATGAGACGGACCTATCCGTGATAAATGTGCCCTGTCCTGACCCTCCAGGAGAAAGTAATCAACAGGCGACCACTTGCTTTGACATCCGCATCGGCAAACGGCTAACTACAATGTTGATAACCCAGGTCCATGGTCACTGTAAAGCAAATGCTCTTGATAGAATATCTAAATAAAATCTATAAAACCATGTACTTTAGCCATTGAAATATGCCGTGTCACAAACACATGAAATCTGTATTATTTCGGGTAGTAATGTGAGGAGATAGCCAAATGTCTGTAAAACGAATATTAGAGAACTGTCTAGGTTGTTATATCTTAATAACTGGTGACCGCAGATCACCCCTTTTTATATGTAGCTAAACATGTCGCAAGTGTTTTTTAAAACTATATCAACAATATCTTTAACCAGTGTGATAATTGGTGAATCACGTTTTAATTCAATTATCGTGCCGTCATATAATCTTAATAAAGTTTTCCAAACATTACAACTTCCAAATTCCGTGCATAATTGAATATACCCCAAATAAGTGTGATATTTCATAACCTGATACAAAATGATTGTTCTTTTACAGTATCACCCATTATGTTGTTTCCGCGGCACCATGCCCAATAACCAAACCATTAGTGATGAGTGTCTTTGTCCCTGACCTTTCTGCCCTGTCATAAAAGCCGCACTCAAACTCTCACAGGGACGAGGGAAAAGATATATAGCCTAATTATAGAAGGGAGCCTTCCCTGCTTGAGCTTTGGCAAGGGTCGACTCAGTTTTCTGTGCGGGAAGGCACGATTCAGGTCGCAGCTGTCAGCTGGTCCGCACACTTCCCCTTACCAGACACGGCAGCAACGACAGCTTCAGTGACAGCTTCAGCGACCCGTCAGCGGCGCTCACCTCACCGCGCGGCATCGATCGGTACAGTTTGCACCTGTGCCCTGTCAATCGATACATCCGGCTATGGCGTATACTTTGATACTTTATCATGTTTTACCAGTTTCCCTGGTACGTGCGTAGTCGTGTGGTTAGCGATCCTGCCTCTGGACTAAGAGATTGGGAGTTCGAATCCCGGCTCACCTGACGCTACTGTTTTAGGATCGCAATCCTTAGGACGGGACGTTAAGCCGTGGTCCACTGATCATTGTGCTTGTCGAAAAGAGCTAGGGGAATATTCCCCGGTACAATGAACCTGTAAATACTGTACATAGCGTCTGTCTTCTCTGTCACGACCAGTGGAAGATTAGCTCTTCAATGAGCTAAACTGGGAGATTACTTGTTTTTACCCTATATGGAGAATATATGGAGCGTACATATTAGACATGTCTGATTTGTTGTAGTTATTTCGCAACACATGGATTTTTTGTAGATGCGCAAATTATTATTTAGACCTATTTAACATGTTCCAATGCATTGAGAATTGTCGTTGAAAGTTTGATCAACTTGATATAATTCACAAATTATCGAAATATTCTAAATCATAGTTTTTATAAAATAGTTTATATGATGGTGTCATCAGCAAAATGTTTATGCTATGGTCTTCAGATCAGAGTACATTTATTAAACATTATTCGTGATTTTTTTTTCAATCTACAGATACAAGGATCAAGAATGACTGTAACGCTTATTGTTGAAAGACTGCGCCATCTTCATCCATTGGTGATCGTCACCCTATATGTAGTAATGAAAGGTATTCTTTTTGGGGATATTTTGCATGTTCGTCCTGTCAAAGACATATCACGACTGAAGTTTTGTACTGCTTAATACATTTAAAAGCAAACTGAAAATATGATTAATACTTCTATTGGTTAACACATGTATAAACTTCAAGACAAGAATATAGTAATCAAATATCTGTGCATTGAGTTTAAAACTTTTGGTCCAACACAAAACAGTTCTCTCACCTAGAGCTTTCGACCAGTCACTCTGGTCTTCCTCAGTAGACTGACCCAGTGAAGCTTGTCATGTGGCTTCTTTGAACTGTGACGTCAACATTGGGTCAAAGGTATCTGGTAGACGATGTCGGTGAACTTTGTTGTGTTGGACCAACAGTTTTAACTCTAAACATGTAACTACCTACACATATGAGCTTTCATGATAATACCTGTGCAGTGCTTGGTGTAATTTCTAACACTTAGGCAGGGATGGTTACGTGTCCTAATAAGGACCTTAGATTCCTCTACAGAATCGTTACATCGTTGCCTTCTTCTCTCTCCTAGTTGCAGTGTCTCAGACGGACGAGTCTATAACAGTACAGGGTATGGTAGGAGACACCGTGACTATTCCAGGAAACTTCTCCTATGGCCACAATGAAGCCGTCATTGCTCTCACATGGGCCAAACTCGACCCAAGGCAGGAAGGTATTACACTCTTGAAATGATTTTGGTGATCATGATAATGTTTAAGTTCATTGCAAATACCTGCCCCGAGGGCTAATTGCAATTAGAAACAACATAAGAAAGAAAATACAGTGGTATGTGAGACTATATCTACGTCCGTAACATTATTATACTATATTCTACAACATATATGGTACTAGCTATAGTTTTACTGGGTTTGACTTTTTCTTTTTAGGCAGTGAAAGACGAATTTACCCACTTCTTCTATAATATGTGGGTTCTTTGATTTTAATGTTAAAATTGTTTTTTTCATGGTAAAGAATGGTCGGGAAGTAAGGGAGCATTTTGGACACGGTGGTAAATAATTGTTTTCTGATATCGTCTTAAAATGGAAAATTAGAGATGAAATGAATTTCGATAATTGTATACTCCAAAAAGCAGTTGCAACTGGATATGATTTTGGAAAAGATCAAACGTTTCATATAGTATCTACTACCTTTCGTCAGTAACAGTAAGAGACCAGAGGACAATTGCAGGTCTATGAACACGAACTATTGATTGATATGGGAATAAGTGAAGACAAATTTTCAAAGGGAAAAAAAAGTTAGGCAAGTCAAGACAACGATGATGCAAATTAGTGTATTTCAAAAATGTGTCTTCAATTATTTGCATATAAATCAATACAAATACAAACCTACAATTTTCCTCTGGTCTCTTAGGGTCACTGGCGAAAGGTAGTGAATAATACCTGAAACGTCTGACCGTTTCCAAAATCATATCCAGTTGCTATATTAATGCTTTTGGGCGTATCTTATTACTTAGATGTCTAACCTTCACAGACGTATAATTGTATACTCTTCACAACTGTGGGGTTTCTCAACTATGAGTTCCATAATATTATAACTTCATATCGTTTAAAATACCCAACTAGTTCCACCACTCAGAACGATCCACTAGGTTCTCCACTAGCTCACACAACTTCACCATCCAAATTCCTTGTTCTAAATCTTTTTACAGTGACAGTTTCTTTCCCCGTACGCCAAGCTTTGGAGTTCCCTCCCTGACAAGTGTTTCCACCAACCTACAATATACAGGCTTTCAAATCAAACGTTCACCGCCATCTCTTGACATAGCCATGTTTCTCTCAAATTTCTAGTTCAAATGCCGAAAAGTGGTCGTATAGGCCTTGCATTGAACCTCTCTGTTAAAGAAAATATATTTTTTTGTTCACAGGAAAACGCCATTTTGTCCACATGTTTACTCCCAATGGAACGTCGGTGGCATCTGACGAACTGAAGGGAAGAGCCGTTTTCCACAAGAACGGGTCTTTCACCATCCGGGACATTCGGGAGGAAGACGAGGGGCAATACGTCATGACTTTACTCATCGACGTCATCGGGCAACGAGAGCATTTTGTAAAGTTGGAAGTTGTCGGTACGGTTTTGAATTTTTTTTTTTTGGTTAAGCCATGTTGATTTGATTACATGGATGACATCCGCGCGCGCATGAATTTTCAGTCGTTTCAAAAAAATGGTTTTGAACCATACTGTAAATCAAAAAAGTTGCAAAATGAGCACATATATACCGTAAGTTGCAAAAAAAATATATTGAAAACGATACAAATGTCGTAGAATGCCAAAATCAAATGAAAAGACGAAAATGTAAAAAAAAAAGAATTTGAAGAGTAGATTATTCGCCATACCATAACCTGTGTCATTTGTTAAACCTTCATGACCACGTAGATTTCATATTGAAAGCAAGTAACTTTTTTTTTTGCCAATTTTTTTTTATTCGCACGCTCGCATCAGTTTTGAGGTTCCCAGAGGATGATATCCATATAATTAAATCAACATGGCCTTAGTCAATGATCCTATTCTTGCAACATTCGCATGTAATTAGAGGTTCGTTTCTCTGTTGAACATTGCCGGAAATATAAGTTAGATCTCTGGTTGCCTCCGGTAGCAAATTGCCTCATGATCAGTAACGGCATAGAATCGTTCAGGCACTCGATCCAAGTTCGATCCCTGATACAATTCTCGCAGGAAATATTCTTTACTCAAAATAATTCATGACGCAAGAACCAAGCGCCTGGACAGTGGTTGGTGCCGTAAACCCTGCATTGAAGCTAACTGGGTATAGAGTAAGATGGATTCTAAGAAAAATGTGATATGTCGATGAAGGTTAGATATCCAGGTAATAAGATACGCAAATAAAGCAGTTACTCAAGCAACTACATATGATTTTGGAAACGGTCAGACGTTTCAGCTAGTATCCACTAGCTTTCGTCAGTGACTGAGAGACCAGAGGTGAAATGCAGGTTTATAAGCACTAACTATTGATTGATATGCAAAAAAAGTGAAGACATTTTTTTTGGAAGTCGAAAAGGGAATAAAAGTCAGACAAGTCAAGTCAAGACAAGATTATCTTGTCTTGACATATCAATCAATAATTTGTGCTTATAAACCTGCATTTCACCTCTGGTCTCCCAATCACTGACGAAAGCTAGTGCATACTAGCCGAAACGTCTGACCGTTTCCACAATCATACGGTTGCTTGAGTAACGCCTTTTTGGCGTAAGAATTTGATCTATTTGACTATCGCTTACCATAATGATATCTATTCATAAAGCGCCAATTGATATAAGAAACCTATACCTACTCACGTTTCTACTGTAGACTGTAATAAATGCATGAAGTGGTTCAGGCGATTCTATAGATACTGTACCAGCTTCTACTATTGAATAATGGATTTTCTGAGACAATCAAATTGATCTACATTAAAGCCAGCGAACTACGGTAGAGCCTGAACTTTGGTGACATTTACTTTGGACCCTGCAGATATCCATCTTCTGCAAAGTAAGACTGTTGCTCTTCGTGATAAAAGGTAAAGGCCAAGGAAAATAAATCATCTACCAGCGGCCTGAAAGGTCGCCGGCAACATTAATCTTAATGATAGAACCCCGTTTATGTAATTCGCTCACTTGATCATCTTTAAGCCTTGGAACTTTTCACGTTGCGGGACTTCCAGAACGGATGCACTTTGGTGCTTCGCTGGTATAAAACGTCGCCGTTTAATTAACCTTCAGGGCGTGAGGGCCGCTTTAGTGGCGGTACTTGTATATCATGCGTGAAAAGTATATACATAAAGTGCAGGGAAAAGCAGATTAAGCTTCCTTAAGTTCTGAACGTTACAGCTTTGATGTATTCAATTGTAATACCACCTTATAGGTTTTATGTGTAAAATACACCATGCAGTAGTTGTTCAAAGCTACGGGAACAAAAAAAAAATTGCCGGTTAGGCCAGGATGAATATATTATCTGTTTCACATCCCAGCGCTTAAATATGTGACAATGTTGCTTAAAAATAGAATGCCTAAGTTCTTAATTATTTTGACACGTTACCAAATATGCCAATAACGTAGGGATTTCAGATACTTGTTGCTCTGCTCGGGATATGACAGGAATTCAGGAGGCTGGGGATTTCAAGAGGAAAATTGCACACTGCTTTTATTTATTTGTTTTGCATCTGTTAGTAATGTATTTATTTGTGCGAATAAATAAAATAAATCAGTCTGAAATCTCCGATTTCATATGATAAATATGAAAGAAATTTCAGTAACTGACGAGCAAGTTTGATTGAATTTTTTGTCTCTAATATTTTCTTTTTCAATTGCCTGTTTTAGTACCACCAGTGGTTGACTTGGGCGTGAAGAGTCCGTACGGAGCTCCTATAGGATCGGACCTCCGTCTCAACTGTACCATCGACAAGAGCAACTCTCTGGTTTACTCCGTCAGCTGGTTCAAAGATGGCCGCCCTCTCAAGTTGCAAAAATTTGACTACGAGGACAAGGTGTTTTATAGGTCGTCCATAGTACTGAGAAACTTTACATCAGCTGACAGCGGAAACTACTCTTGTGTTGCAAAATCGCTGAAAACGCAGGAAACTGGAAGCGCCATATTAGAAGCAACTTGTAAGTAAACTAGTAATATATATATATATATATAGACGTCACCTACATTGTCTATTGCTAGCTGGTAATGCAATTCCTTGCTTTGGCATACGATAACCTTACGTGAGACCAAGCTATGTCCAAAGTGACAATCCAAGAAATGATTTTGTACACCAACACTATATTACTATTGTTTCTACGTGCACATGACTTGTATTTTCATGACAATACTTCACCACAATATTAAGTAAATTCGAGACTTATTTTATAACATGTACTGCAAATGAGTCTTTTGACGCTTACATACAAAAATACTGCATTACTACGAAAATAGGATTCACAACTAGAGAAGTAACATTTGCAAAGCAAATGTATAATGCTTACCTTCGGACATGGTCTGCCCTGTTAATTTTACTCAAACACATTCGCATACATGTACTGCAGTATGGTGACAGGGGTAGAGCAGACCATGAAATTGCAACATTATGTAACCCAACACCAGTCACCATAGTGACAGACGCCAACAAATCATGTCATTGGCCAGGTTAGAGGTGAGTGTTTAAAACAGAAGAGGAGTAATAAACTGAGTAAAAACAATATGTTTTCCTTCGGTAAACATAATAAAAAAAGGAGGCCATATGCCATATTTTACAGTATATGGTGTTAATGTTTTTCAGACCCTGCTCGGGTTACCAACATTTCTACTCAGCCAAGCATCACAGCAGGAGAGAGCACGACACTCTGGTGCACGACTGCAGGCAACCCTCCTCCTAAAGTCACCTGGTACAAAAATGGCCGCAAAATATACACCGGAGTTACCACAGAGGGAAACGTGACCTTCGTAAAGATAAAGAGAGCGCGGACTTCAGACATCGGGAAGTACAGATGTGCGGCGGCTAATGGACTTGGCGAGGATTCAAGAACTGTTTATCTGTCTGTTGGTGGCATGGAGGTTACGGCATCATCGTCATCATCAGGTACATATAAGAACTTTATTGCACATGGTACAATGTATGGCAAACTACATAAAGAGAGTAACAAACAATAAAAATTAATGTATTGAATAAGACCTAATGTTGAATAAAGCCTAACGTATCTTAATTATTCGAACATTAAGGGATAGCACAAGTCTTTGATGAAGTGTTACAATCGAGTGGGCTAATCACAAGTTTCGGTATTTTTTTCTAATAACAAAGCATTTCTTTATAAGGCCCGTTCTTATTCAAATGTGCAAAATGCTGTCGCCACTCTTTACGACTAGATATGAGCCAAATCACGGACCACATCAACATTATTGCTTTCTTTACTTTCCGGAATTCCCACTACAGTCACTAAATTTCCAGAAAAATCTCTATGTTTGGCTGATGACTTGAAAGAAATTATACCCTTGTGTTTGATAGGATAAGTAACCTCCGTTATCGCAGATTTCTGTTACCCCCGTGTGGTTACCGCTCAAATGAGACATTCGTGAAGTTTAGATTAACGACATACAAGACACGAAATTTGATGACATTTTGCATGTTTTCTAGGTTTCTAAGGGAATAAGACAGGAGTGTTCACTGTCATTTGTAGCCGCCCCTGCTGAAAAAAATGGTTTACAATAATGACCGTAACTTCGTAATGGTTGTTTGTCAGTAGTAGTAGTAGTAATAATAAACTTCCCCTGGTATTAGATAGCGCGTTTTTAAATGGTCGTAATTCTAACCACTACCTCCTAAAAGATGAAGCTAAAACTGTAGATCTTTTGGAGATAAAAGCCACAAGTGCGAAATAGTAACCTCCGTTACAGAAATTCTACACATTTCAATGAAAATGAAACATAATAGATGCTTTGATTATTAACTGATTGTGTAAAAAGTATGCATTTTCATAGGGTACAACTTGTTTTCGAGTTTGTTCAAAACAAAAGAAATGCGCTCTTTTACATATTTACATACGCCAGTTCCTTCTCCTTGGATTGATCAATTCAACTCTGGTGTTTTGGTTCTTCATTTCTTTGAAGGAGCCATTGTAAAGAACGTGTCCTTTATGTTTTTTTATTCCAATATGTAGTCAAAAGACATGGTGACGGCACACTCAAGTTTTTCCAACTTATATTAATGCCGCCACCAACAACACAGGGACAATACAATACTAATTTTCACCTGAGCAAAGTGAGGAAAGTTTGTAACGTGCCTTTCCTAAAGGCACAAGATTCATGGCATGTCAGGACTCGAACACGGGACCTCTTGGTTCCGAGTCGAGCACTCTGCCGCTACGCCACACAGACCTTCCTTTATGTTTCAGAAATGACCATATCTGAGCGTTGGTTGGAGTTTGGCATCATCGTGGGCGGGGCCGTGGTCGGAACAACTCTGTTGCTGACGTCATTCCTCATTATAATATTCGTTGCCAAGCGACGGAGGTCCAAGAGCGGCGGATGTCAAACCTGCCACGTGTTGGCCATCAGTCACAGCCAGCCTAATCTGCACATGATAGGGGACGATACGAGCCGGCAATCACACACAGCGGGAAACCTTGACCCTGAAAAACCTCTGTCAGGTCAGTTATTGGGTACGGCCCACGATGAAACCTTTAGATCAGATAAGCAGAATTGCTCTAGAGCTCCCATTTCCGTTACTCATATTACTTCACAGTATGTGGTAACTGAAGAGAGTCAATGATAAATTGGTGTTAGTGTAAGTAAATTACAACGTGTCCACAGAAGGTCCGCTTATTAACAAAACTCCAAGTTACACATCGAAACCGGTAGACATAACCGCACTCCCCTAGAACAACGAATATGCCGGTACTGTGATCTAGGAAGAATCGAAGATGAGAAACATTTTGTAACAGAATGTAAACTATACCACAAAGAGAGAGTAGGTCTTTATAATCTAATACAATCTATGTTCCCCTTCTGTATACATCTAAGCTGTACAGATAAATTCATATTTCTAATGAGCTTAAACAAACCCTCTATATTGAAACATATCTGTTCTTGCCTTTTTGCCATTACTAAGAAACGAGAAGAAACCGAATTTACTTCGTTGTAACTACTTGACGATGTATATATGTAGCGTTATCTGTAGTCCATCCTTTTTGTGACCTGTACTTAACCCAGTGGGTATGTGTGTACAATAAAAGTCTTCATTCATTATGACTACTAGCAGATACGGTAAGTGCAACTGTAGTTAAGGTAAGTTCTTTGTTATTGCACATAGAAGGTTTACGTTTGTTATATGTATGCCTTTTAACAGGTCGATACCTTGCCAGGGCAATACGGGACTATAAACCAACACAGGAGGGCGGTCTTACACTCGAGGTCAACGATGTCGTAGAGTTACTGTATATGGGAAGAGACGGCTGGTGGTACGGGTATCTCAGAGGGAGCTTCGGCTTCTTTCCTTCACGAGCCGTCACCATGATCACTGGGAGAAGACGCTTGTCTATGGGTAAACACGCATTGTTTATTGTTTATTTATTGTTTATTTATTTACCATTTGAACGTATATTAAAAACAATTACACAATCAAATAATAATAATGAAAGAATGTGCGGGGTAGGCCAGAAACCCGGGTGGTTTTTCAAGGGGCCTACCCCAAACAAAGGTAACTTATGACAAAACATATTTGAATTAAACATCAAAATTAAACAATGAAATAATTAAACAATGATTAATTAAACAGAATCAAGACACAGAAATAAAAACTGAAGTGTGTAAACTAACTAAAAAGAAATTAAACAAAATTTAAGTCTTATACATGTAATTCAGGTAGCTGTTACAGAGTAAACTGATCAGATAATTAACATAAAAATTAGCGATTAAAACAAAAGATTAAAGATAACAAGGAAAACAAACAAATCAGATTCTAGTTGTACTGGGGTTTTGTAAGAAAAAGTTTTTAAGAGTCATATCTTTGTCAGTCAAATGTTATCATCGGGAGAAAAGTGGGGTTAAGGCTACACCAATTTAATTTCTTGGTGAACGGATTTTTCTAACAAAATAATGAAGCGGGGAGGCGAAAAAATAGAAATAAAAACAGGCATAGGCATCCTATTTTGGCCCAAAATACGCTAGCCATAAAGTCAACACACCAGGCTGGTTCAATATTTAAACAATGAATTTTGAACTTTTAATGATACCACTGCATTGAAAGATGGAATAACTGAACTGTAAGAACTAGGAAGAAAAGGACTGTTTTCAACTGTTCAGTGCAAAATATGAGCATTTTGCAGTTGATTCAGATTATTTTTGCAAATCACAAAAAATGAAGCGGGCGAATCCGGTATTAAATTGGTGTGACCTAATATGGAAACAATATTTTGTAACTCGTTATATCTAAACAAACCGGCAACGTTATAAAGATAAATGTCTATTATTATGAAATTAGAAAACAGCTGGTAATCTGAGTGTGTTGATGCAGCCCTTGTTCATAACATAATTTCAAATTGTGATTTTCGTTCTTGCCTTAATGATTTTGATGATTAGAAAGATGTTCTTCCTTTTTCAAGAAATGGTGATGTTTTATATCCAAACACTGAAATTAGTAGATTTTGATTAACAAAATGTTGTGTTTCGACAGGTTATGATCAAGACAGAACAGCTCATATGTCACCAAACAGCTACAGGACCAATGTTGACCTTTTGGGAACACTTCCGGTTGACAGTGATAACGGAAACTCTCGACTATTTCCGGTAAGTTGAAACTTTTTGACTTTTTAAAACACTATCACAGACTAAGACATTGGGTACATTCTCGAGGCTTAGGCCACACCAATTTAATTTCATGGTTAACAGATTCGCCAGCTTCATTTTTTTCTGATTTGCAAAAAAAAATTAAAAAAAAAACTCAGAATAAACTGCATAATGCTCATATTATACCCTGAACAGTTGGAAACAGCCCTTTTCTTCCTAGTTGTTACAGTTATTCCATCTTTTAATGAAGTGGTATCATTAAAAGTGCAAAATTCATTGTTTAAATTTTGAACCAGCTTGGCCTATTTTTATTTTTGTTTTTTTGCGCCCGCCCGCTCCATCATTTTTATAGAAAAATCCATTAACCAAGAAATTAAATTGGTGTGGCCTTGTCATGGCCTATCATGGCCTTACGAGACCGAACAATGCCTACTAATCCTAATATAATGAAGGGTGACTTTTGAACGTTTTACTGTGCTGTATTCACACTCTTTATAATTATGTATGGTACAGTGTTATATATATATATATTAAGTACTTGAGCGTGTGGTTATTATATTATCATATAATATGTATCAATGCATGACGCATCTTGAGCAAACATTCATATTTTGATAGTATTAGTCTGATTTATACACGGCAATAATATCTAGTTTTGCCTTTTCTATGGATGTTTTAAACGTTACCCTTCATTGCATAAAGAAGAAGATATATTGCTATGACTTTATTATATTTACCGAAGGAAAACATATTGTTTTTGCTACGTTTCTTATTCTTCTTCCGTTCCAACCATTCACCTCTGACCTGGCCAATGACCTCATTTGTTGACGTCTCTCACCATGGTAACTGATGTTGGGTTACATGATGTTGCAATTTCACAGTAGGAGGGATTTATGTTCCTGTCTGACAATATCTATGAATGTATTTCTTCTTCTTAAATACCCTCGAACGACCCCTGTACGGGGTATCATTGAGGGATGCATTTGGGTAAGAATTAACAGAGTAAACCATATGCGATGGTAAACAGTAAGCATTTGCGTTGCAAATATTACCTTTCTAGTAATAACATTTTTCCTGAAAGCAGGGATCAAGGAACTATCCCAGGACGACATTGCCCCTGCCCGAAACTGCTCCTCGTGCCAGTGTCAACAGGCAGCCAATTTCCTACGATGACTTTGGCGACGACTGACGTATTGAACCTTCCAGGCACGGAAAGCAATACAATACACGGCGGGATTCCAGAAGCTTCCGTAGGTGTTTGCTGTGACAGCACCATCGACATGGCTACGTGAACAATATCCTGAATAAAAATCATCGAGGGATTTACCTGACATTTTCCCTCGGATACAATGTTAGAGATAGCAAACCGTGACGTCTATGGTATCACGCATCTTGTACTAGAGAGATTTTGTACGATTTGAATTGACGTTGTAAGGCCACACCGCCTTAATTTTATGGATGACATCGACTGAAGACCCCCAAACTAGGGGCGCGGGCGAATAGAAAAAACATTCCGCCCAAAAATAAAAATTCAACTAAACCACAAGAATACAAAGTATTGTAAATTTGCGGCAGAACACAGGGGCATTTACGACAAGACATCTCGTTTCCCGTCGGCTGAACAGACAATCACGTGACCCCTACCCTGATACTAATTATTCCGCCCCTTTACCCTCTGACCCTTCCTCCCTAACCCTCGTAAGGGTCATTCGTGGCTCAACCTTTCTCTGTACGGTCACATTCCCAACCAACCCTCCCATGACTAATCCGAGAACACCTGGATTCTAGAACGTTAGTTACGTTTTCTCATCTCATACGACATCGTGTTACCTTAGTTCTTACTGACTTATCTAGACTCGTACATTTCGTCATAGCACTGTACGTTATCCTCAATGGTACCTGCGACTTAGCGTACGTAATCAGTTGTTACATAACCTTCATGTTGTCTCTTCTCTGCAAGATACCTGCCTTGCTAGCGTTCCCAGTCACATTGTGGCCATTTGCTGTACTCAGTATGTTTTGTAGTTGTAACCTCTGATATACTCCAGAATTGTGTTATTGTCGTATTTTGAACCACGTTACTTACGAAGGTCAGTAGTTATTCAGGTGTACCTGTAACGCATCATTTGCTTAGCCAGGATGTTTTCAACCTTGTTCACGCAGATGAGCTTTGAACTTCGCCGGTTAGAAGTTACTTACAAGTCAGGATGCGTTAAACATCCGCTGGACAGAGCCTTGGTTTAACCGACCAGCCCGACTTTGGCTAAACAATTGGCAACCAGGGTAAAATAGGTCGCCAGCTCGCAGCACATGACTTGTTGTTGTTGTATTAGGCTCCTGTATACGTATGTACATGCTATGAGAGCTACATTGTGTAGAGAGTATTGGTGTTACTGAGTTGAGGAGCCAATTGCAATAAATGCCCGACCGTACTGAGGTGACGGTGAGCTCACTACCCTAATTGTGTGTGTTTGTCTGTGAAATAGACGGGAAACATAGTTCTCTTCGGAGCTTGCGAAGAAGAGAAGGCACATGCTGGCTTTCTGTGAAATTCATTAATCGGCACTGTACGTATGCACTGAGTTTTTATTTATTTATTTATTTATTAGAATTTTCCAGACAACTGGGTGGGAGGACAAAACAGGTGAATATACACCTTTGCTAGTTGTCCTCCCGACTTTTTGAGTCGTGGAGCTTCGGCAGCCTGAGTGCCGTTCTCCAAAGTTACTACCGGTCCCTAACTCACTAACTACCATGGACTACCCAGGCCTAGCGCCAGGCAGAGCCTCGGAGGACGTAATTTTTTTTAGAACAGGCGAAAATAAATGCGCGCGTGGATGTCATCCATAAAATTAAAGCGGTGTGGCCTTACAGCTTACGGCAGCGAAAGCTGTTGGATATTGTGGTAACGTATATTGCGCTGTGTTATGACGTGCGTGGTGCATTATGCATTCCGAGACTATACGTTAGATTTTGCTGCCATTTGCAGGATCTGATAGGAGAAGCTATAGCTACTTGCGACATTATTACCATATCCAGTGACCCTGTTGCGATGTATATTATAACTTTTATTTCCTAAAATATTGAGCACAATTATATACAGCAATGATTATAATTGCGAAGATCATTTGGAATGATAAATTAGGTACTTAAATCATGTATTTACGTTTGATTTTAGGTTGTGTATATTTCACGGTTTGTTTCCGTATATAAAATAAGCATGTGTATATACAAATAATGGTTGAATAAAAATATTGCTTTTTGTATGCAAAATATTTACATGTAATGTGTGTAGTCAATTTTTGGAAGAGTATGGTTTTACAATGTACCTCGTCTTTGTGTGAGAACGCAATTTTGTATAATAAATACTGTAAAATATTCTGCGTTTGAATTCGTTGGCAGTGCTAAAAGCTAAATATAACCTATTCGTTTATATACATCATTGATAGGTATTGTTAGTTGATACTTTTACGTTATTCTGTCCAGTAGTAAGGTGTGTGTGTGTGTGGGGGGGGGGGGGGGGGCTTCGGAGCTTCCTCCTTAATAGACACTGTGCACGGAGAACGGTAAAATGATATTGTGTTTAAATATGTTTTTAAAATGGTGTGATCAAATGCATAACTAATACCTGGGAAGAGTACGAGACGGTTAGGCCAACCCAATTTAATTTGTTGGTTCTCGGATTTTTTCCGAAGCGACAGGGCAAAAAAAATAAAAACAGGTCTAGGCATCCTATAATAGCCCCAAATGCTACAAAAGGAGCCATGAAATCAACACAAAAGGCTGGGCTAATATCTAAACAATGAATTGTGAACTTTTAATGAAACCACTGCATTGAAAAATGGTAAACTGTAACAACTAAGAAGAAAAGGACTTCCGTCAACTATTGGGGGCAAAATATGATCATGTTTTATTGATTTAGAACCAGAATATTTTTTTCTAAATCTGAAAGAATGAAGAGGTGAATTCGAGAACCAACAAATTAAATTGGTGTGGCCTTATAGCATGACTATGAAAACCACACAGTTGAGTTCGAACAACTAGTTTAGTTCCAATAACTTAGTTCTTTTTATTTCATAAAGTTCTCAAGACTTGCGCTTGGCTAGGAATGGGGAAAATATATATTATGTACAATTCTCACAAACATGCGTTTCCTTTCGTCATTTTGAACTGTACATGGTGCTCAAGATACATTCTGAAGTCTAAAAATACCAATACTTATGTTTACAGTATTATCTAGTCTTATAAGCAATATTCTTTACTTATTCAACACTTTCAACACAATACAATTCACGACTCTTAGCTACAATCAACGTTACAATATATCTACATGAATAGCAAAGTTCTTTTTATCACAACCATTTATTTTTCACTAGCCGACGTTTCGATGACCTTCTGTCATCTTCATCAGGGCAATTCTGACTGGTTTACTGTGCACTGACACTAGATGTTACTTGGTGCATAGTGCACTAAATGTGTTACATAGTTCACAGTGCACTTACTAATAAGCTAATTTTTTTCTGTTTAAAATACATTGCGGAACGTAGTGTAATTGTGATATACATACTAGGCATTGTTACATCATAGGGAAATCACATCATAGGGAAATCACGGTCATCGAAACGTCGGCTAGTGAAAAATAAATGGCTGTGATAAAAAGAGCTTTGCTATTCAGTCGTTTACCAACCTGATGAAATTATTTACGAATATATCTACATGTTTGGAAAACAACAAACGACCACAACAAAACACAACAGCGCGAGTAACTTCTATGCATATGAAAGTAGTCTACTGTTACTTCATTTTTTTTATATACAAAACATCACAAAGCTACATTTATACGCGATTTATGTTATCACAAATGCAGACTGTATAGACAAGTGTTAAGGCATCTCAGTTGATCTCACACGTACGACATTCCCCGATCGTTCTATCCTTTGCCATTGTTGAAGTAGGCGGACATCCAGAGATCGTAAAATGTATTCGTAAAATTCACACTACAAGTACTTGAATGCACGTTGACGTCAGAAGTTTAAAATAAGAAGGATGGCCAGATTTGAAAACAAAGAAGGATTTGATTAAATATTAGTACTTATAAGAACGGTACCCGTAAGACACATGGGCCCCCAAAACAAAGTATGGCTAAAAATCGCACACGATTCACCAGATTTAATCTATTTATCTGTGTGTAAAACCAAGTTTATACATATGATTTACATATTAGATAAACCCTTCTTTCTTTGCCAAATCTGTAGAATACTATTTGTTATCGATGTATATGTCAGAAAACCAACGACCGGCATTCTATTTAATTTTCAAAGACTAAAGTCTCGTAATTACAAAGTGTTACAGACAAGACAGGATGTAGTATCTTGAAAGTTCATCTGTGTTGGTAGAAATCATTATGAAGCAAGTTTAAACTATACTATCCAACACAATAAGTTGGACTCATCCAAATTTTCGACTGTACAACTCCAGTTTTTGTCAAGGAATTAGCAATCCACCGCTTCCGTGACGTCACGCAGATAACACACATGACTCCATGAGCAGTGCATCATAGGTTGCAGAAAGTCTGTGGCGCCCCCCGTCTCTGTTGAGGGATGATGGTGAATTCCTCATTCCTTGACAAAGACTGGACTTGTACAGTCGAAAATTTAGGTGAGTCCAAATTATTGTGTTGGATATTACAGTTTAAACTTGCTTCATACAGGATGTAGTAGTTTTGGCGAGTTTCTTGTTATTTCAAGAAAGCAACACCCCACATTTCTCTGGAGTACTAGAGAGGCGGTTCAATACCGATTTGATGTCGTCTGGGGTGCAGAGTGATGAATGCCAAAGTCCACAGAGTGCAAAGCTCCTACGGAAGAATTGTGATTCCGCCATCTGCCTTATTGCATTGGAATACCATTATGACGTCATGCACCATCCATCACTCATCATCCGAATCGTCAGGGGTCGTCTGGACGCGTCTGGTGACGTCATATCCGGTACAGCTCTTGACCGTCAAGGCAGTTTCGTTCTCCCTCTTGCCACCCTGTGTAGAAGTTAGTATGGGATTAATTTACGTCATAGTATAGTATAGTAAACTTCACATTCTTCTTAAAAGTAACAAATTCTTTCATACTTCATACGTTGATAAAGGCTATACATCCAGTGTGTTTCTCCGTTATCTATTGTAATGTTAATGTTATTATAATTATATTGTACAGGTTGCGAGGCTGGTTTTCTGAATAAAACTGTTAAACTGAATGAACAGCAAAGTTCTTTCATCACAATCATTCATTTTGCACGAGCTGACGTTTCGATGACCGTCTGTCATCTTCATCAGGGCAATTCTGACTGGTTTACTGTGCACTGACGCTAGATGTTACTTGGTTCAGAGTGCACTTGGTGCATAGTGCCCTGATGAAGATGACAGACGGTCATCGAAAGGTCGGCTCGTGAAAAATAACTGGTTGTGATCAAAGAACTTTGTAATTCATTCGTTTACCAACCTGATGAAACTATTTATGGATGTAAAACTGTTAAAATGTTAAACTGAACTGTTCCTAGTGAATTCTTTCATCAGTGACAACTTTGGAAGGATAAGGATACTAACCTCCAAATTTTCGATGGCTATCAGTCCATCTTGTTCACGGAGTGGCCTAATCTCGCGGCGGGGGCTGGGACCCGACAGACCGATGCAAGTCTCGGGCCTAGTCTCGCGCTCTCGCGAGATTAGGCCACTCCGTGAACAAGATGGAGTGATAGCCATCGAAAATTTGGAAGTTAGTATCCTTATCCTTCCAAAGTTGTCACTGATGAAAGAATTCACTATCTATACGTATCTATACGTGACAAATGAATCTCTTCAACGTTAAACCGAACTGACCTGAAATGAAGCCGTACTTTTGCTGTTGGTCTCCAGTGGAAGTGTCCCGAGCAGGTCGATGCTAGCTTTGCGACTGCTTCCCTGCGCATGTGCTGCTCTCTCCTCCTGTCCTGTCGGCACGAAAAGAGTTGTAGGACGAGTCGGGATAAAACTACATCTAATATCTTACAATACATGTAGAAGAAAACCAAAACCCCATAAAAGTGCAATTTTACAATTTGACGTTGAATGATGTAACCTGAGCCCGGCTAGTAAATTTGCACTGTATTCCGTAAAATTGCACTGTATTCTGATACGATTGCACTGTGTCCCGTAAAGTTGCCCTGTATACTAGTAAAATTGCACTGTATTCCGTAGAATTGCACTGTATTCCTTAAAATTGCACTGTATTCCTTAAAATTGCACTGTATACTCTGGCACCCCTGAAACAGCATCTTCTGTAACAAAACAGCTGGATATTGCAGGACAGATGCACAAGAATGTACTAATTCGTGCGACGATTGTACGACGTGTGTGTGTGTGACTGGACCTAACCAAAAACTGACCGTACCGATAGACACTCTTCTTTTGCAAGTGAGCACCGTGACGGCTCGGGCAGGGAAGAAGCCGAAGTTCCCTCTCATGTACCCGTACCACCAGCCGTCTCTCCCCGTGTGGAGCACCTCCACGATGTCGTTGATCTCCAGGGTGAGGCCGCCCTCCCCTGTCGGTTTGTAGTCCTGGATGGCCCGGGCTAAGTAGCGACCTACGATGCACAAACAGAATTCAAGAAAAATCAGAAAATGCTATAAAATCCCTCTGGAACAAAGATTATGTTAATGTTGTGATTTAAATAGAATAGAGGACGAATGTCACTTTGTTATAAAATGTAGAGTATATAGCAATATAAAGAGAGAAATGATCTGTATAGGCTTGTACAAAACCTTCTTCCTTACTTCATACACTTGAGCACTGTAGAAACGTTTATATTCCTAATGCGACTTGACAAACCTTCCATTGAAAAACATATCTGTTCTTTTATCTCCACTGTAACTGAAAAACGAGAAGTTAAATTTATCTAATGATAGCTAGTTTTATTCTATATATATATTTCATCATGTTTTCTTTTGATCTGTACTTAGCCCAGTGTGGCAAAAATGTGCAATAAAGGTCGTCATTCATTCATTATAAAACCATGCATATACGAAAGTTTATTGCAAATACATGCCCGAGGGCTAATTGCAAATATAAACAACATGTATGAAAAAGAAACTACAATGGAATGGGAGACTAAGTCTATGTACAAAGTTATACTACATTTTACAAAAAAAAAGTAGTACTAAATTTTGTTAAACAGGTTAAACAGGTCACGTGTTTGTAAACCGTAACTCTCGCGAGATCAGGTTGTGAAGTGGTTGGTTATCAATTATCCTGATGAAGGCGACTGAAAATTTGATCTCTGTTAAACCTGTGTGTTGGAATAAAGTTCAACGTTTTACTATGATTACTACCAACACAGATGGACTTTCATGACATTCTGATACATGAATAGCAAAGTTCTTTGATCACAACCATTTATTTTTCACGAGCCGACGTTTCGATGACCGTCTGTCATCTTCATCAGGGCAATTCTGACTGGTTTACTGTGCACTGACACTAGATGTTACTTGGTGCATAGTGCACTAAAGGTGTTACATGGTTCACATGGTCATTGAAACTTCGGCTCGTGAAAAATAAATGGTTGTGATCAAAGAACTTTGCTAGTCATTCGTCTACCAACCTGATGAAATTATTTACAGATTCTGATACATGGTACTGATGTGACACTATGTCGTGTTCTTTGGCTTGAAACTTAAACTTGCGTTTAGATGCTTAAATCCGTGTAGGGTTAGTGGGAAAGGTACAAGACGTGGCTGTGCTCAGTGGTGGGTACATTGGAACCAAAGAAGAAGTATGCAGTTACTTTCGTGCTTAGCAACTTAATATGCAAATAGCTGAACTAATACAGGGGTGTTGCCCTAACTGCAAATTTACTATTTATTTATGACGATTTACCACATTTGTGGAAGGATTGACAGAACAGGTGACTATCACCTTTTCAAAGATGTCAAACCTGAGACCAGACTGTAAAGTTTGAACCACTCACACCGGGAAGGTCCCCTACTCTTTTCGATAAGTGTGGTGGATTTTTAACGTGCGTGGGGTGTGGCTCACCCAAACACGGGACCTCCATTTAACGTCCTATCCGAGGGACGTCCCTAGCCGAAGCTAGGTACTCATTTTCGCCTGTGTAAGTGAGGAAAGTCGTGTTAAGTACCTTTCCCAAGGGTACAACGTCGTACATGTTCGGACTTGTTCGGGTACCCCGGGTCTCCCCGTTTCATAGTCCAGTGATGTACCACTACACCACACGACGCCACGACGCCACTATAATAACACAACAGGTACTTACCTAATAAGTGCTTGCTCTGGTCCATATTAACCATGGGCTCTGCTCCTCTGCAGACGTCGTCCCCGATCGTGCAGAGGTTCGGGTGGCTGTGACTGATGGCCACCACGTGACACGCCTGGCATCCGTGACTTTTCGACTTCTGCCTCTTGGTGAAGATTATGACGATCAATAAAGATGTCAACAGAAGGGTCGCTCCGACCACCGCCCCGCCTACAATAATCCCGAACTCGATCCATCTGTCCGAGATAGTTGATCCTTTGAAACGATAAGATATGACGGTTTCAGAGAAGACATGCAGCAGGCATATGTCATCGTTATTATTTCAGAAAAGCCGTACCGAATAAGTATACAATTTATGTTATATTATATCATATGTGCGTACTTACGGCAACATATTCTATTGAGGTATTCTGCACGTTGACTCTAACTGTTTTTCTTTTTGTTATAATAATGAACGTTTTGATCTTTTTTTAACGAGAGATCTCAGCAAAATTTACTCTTTCAGTTCTACTATACACATTCTCATCCCTTTCCCTAACTGTGATTTCTGATATACACACAGTTTCGTTTTTTACTACTTATCTTTTAACTACAAAAAAAAATTGGGTCTAGTATTAGATGACATGACATCCATGTGAATCTGTATCTGTATAGCCGGTATAACCGCCTTTCGGCGTAACACACCAGCTTCGCAGGCTCGTGGCGCGGCGGCAGCTGACTACATTACGCCGATCGACTTGTTACACCTAAGCCTCTAACATCCAACTCTAGACTTTGTTTAAAGCTATCTAGTGACAATGCCCCTACTGTACTTGGTGACAGTGAGTTTCACTCTGCGATAGTTTTAGGAAGGAATGAATTCTTGGACGCCTCAATGCTTGATGGATAACTCTGGTACTTGAAGGCAAGGCTATTTCTTGTTCTCTTCTGGGATGGTATTAGGTACTTAGTAAGGTAGCATCTTTAACACTTACCCGATGAAGATGTTGAAGCACTTGCCTCAGGTCCATTAACAGACAGAACCATAGTTCTTGAGTCCGGCTCGGCGAGGCCATTACTGGCAGAACACTTGTAACTGCCGCTGTCTGATACCCGGACACTCCGGATTGTCATGTAGGTCACGTTGCCTTCCACAATGGTTCCCTGGCGCTTTTCCCGGTCGTCTTTGTACCACGTGATCTTAGGCGGAGGGATACCTTCTGTGGTGCACCAAAGCGTCGCACTGGATTCTATGGTCGTCGTCAGGCCTGACGAAGAGTTAGTTATCCTGGCAGGATCTGCAAAATCACAGCAAAATCTCGGTGATGGAACGTATATCAAATACCTTTTATGCATCTGCAAACATGTGCTACTGCTTTGCTGAGAATGCTGAGGAACGTCGATGAAGGTTAGACATCCAGGTAATAAGATATGCCAAAAAGCAGTTACTCAAGCAACTGGATATGATTTTGTAAACGGTCAGACGTTTCAGCTAGTATCCATTGGCTTTCGTCAGTGACTGAGAGACCAGAGGGGAAATGCAGGTTTATTGATTGATATGCAAATAAGTGAAGGCAGTTTTTTCCCCAAAAGAAACAAAAGTTGGACAAGTCAAGACAAATGTTAATAAATGATGACAAGACCTGTATTTCTATTCTGGTCTCTCAGTCACTGACGAAAGCAAGTGGATACTAACAGAAACGTCTGACCATTTCCAAAATCATGTCCAACTGCTTGGGTAACTGCCCTTTGGCGTAATCCTGAGGTCCTATTGGGATGATGTTCATGTTGATGAAGAATCTTGAACTCCTATTTGTAGCTCAGGGACTGGTTCTCCCAAGTCAGATAATGATTCAAATATCTCAAACAGACTCTTCTGTTAGGTTCCTTATGCGAATGTATAGACTTTCATTAGCTTAAAGTGAGGACAATATTAATGGGCACTGGTTTGGGAAGAGCTTTCCAAAGTGATTAATCAGGCCTCCGTGGATTGGATGTAGACCTTAAATCAATTAACCTTTAACAGAGAGCATGGAAGGGAAACAGTTCTTTGATAGACATATACGGTCGGACTAACGACACAAAACCTATAAGGTACTCTCATGAAACAGTAGTTATTGTACTTTGCAATATGGTCCCTTGCTGTTTATTGATTGATGATAAAATGGCTAGCGGCTGTATATCTACCTAATTGCCAAATGTGAAATCTCTATTTGAAATTGCCCTTCTATTCGAAGAACAGTGTTTCATTTAATCTAACTTCTAGCCCTGGCCAGGTCTTGATGGCCAAGTGTATTGACTAAACAGCATTTCTCTACAAAATGCATTTATTGTGACTACATATTGACATTATACATAATATCACGATACAACGACATACATGCATATTTTGTGTATATGTTAACCGCTAATCATTTCTATGTTTAGATTTCTTTTGCTATGTATCAGTGGGTTTCGTGATTGCGGTTACCCGTTTTCTATTGCCTTCTCCATCACAGCAATATGCATAAATTAGCAATTTCTTCGGGAAACAACTTTGAACAAGTTGCAATGTGCAACCCAATGTACTTAGGCCACAGCAAACAATTTTATGGATGACATCTTCGCTCGCATTAATTTTATCCTGATTTTGGAAAGAAAACAAGAATTTTTGTTGTCCTCTGACAGTGGTCAACATGCCAAAAATGGGCAAATATGTCTGTTGTCATGCCTGAAGGTGGATGGCAGATGAATATGAAGAGAGGAGACAAGAAAGGGCTGTAATTTAATGTTTTGTTTCTTACTTTGATGCAGTGATATGTGATGCTGACTGTGTATATGTGATGTCCCCACTGAATCAAAACCATTTGAACAATGATTGAGTCAAAATATTAAAATGTAGAAACCTTATTTTTTTCGGCCCGCCTTGCTTTTTTTCGCCCACTCGCATTAGATTTAGACTCGGATGTCATCCATAAAATTTACTTGCTGTGGCCTTAGCAGAAGGTAGGATGTTTTTGTGATTGATTAGTACTTCCTCTGACGGATTAGTTGTCAAGATATGGTAATGAGGTTTCAAACGGATTAAAGGGATTACTGTGACATAAACTACCTTAGATCATCATGATATAGATAACTCTTGTTTTTAGCTAAGGCCACAGTAAGTAAATTTTGTGGATTACATCCTCCACAGACCCCAAATCTAATTACGCGACAGGGCAAAAAAATCAAGGCGGGTAAAAAAAAACAAGATTCCTACATTTTCTAATTTCGACATCAAAACCTTGTTAAACAAGAAATGATGCCCATATTGTGCTACGTTTACTGCGAATTATGACAACATTCATTTCTCACTGAAACAACTTTGAAAAAGATAAGTTTTCAATCATTGTACAAATGGTTTTGATTCAGTGAGAACATGAACATATACATATACATATACAGGCACCACCACATAAAATGCACCACTGCATCAAAGTAAAAGACAAACCATTGAATCGGAGCCTTTTCTTGTCTCCACTCCTCATATTTATCTGCCATCCACGCTACTTCATGGCAACGGACATCTTTGCCCATTTGGCAACAATTTTTTCCCAAATCAGACAAAAATCAATGCATGGTTGATGTCAAGCATACAAATTACTTGCTGGAGCCTAACTATTATTATTATGGGTTCACCACAAAGTGATGAAACCATATTGCTTTTTCTCATGATTCTCCTCCTTCTTCTCCTCCTGCCATTTCTTTAAATGGATTCAGCTTCTTCATTTGGGGGCCTAAGGACCTGAAATTTGGTATGGAGGTACAGTAGGCAAATACCCCCAGGTCGTTTTTTTAATTTTTGTGATACAGGCTTTTAGAATGGTTTTATTTGAGTTTTTTGGCTGTGTTATAGCAAATGTATTACTGAGTTAGTGTGCAGTGTTACCAGATTTGGGCATGAGTCATCACAATGGAATGCAGGGCATCAACCAATAGGCATGCAGCTTTCCTCTATTCTCCTTGCTGATTGGCTGTTGGAATTTAACAGGCTTAACTTAATTAATACCTGCACAGAGCCATTCCATACTGACAGTATGTCTGTATTCAAGTGTTTTGGTAGGTATTTTAAGCTTTCCTGCTCCAGCATTGGAATGCGGGGCATGAACGCTTCTTTTTTTCTTGAAAATCAACAGTTTGCATTATGCAATTAAAAATCCTAACCAATAATGTAGGGAATAGCTATCCAACTGTTGTAGTCTTAGTTGTATGTTACTTCATACTATAGTTATATCAATGTAAAGCATTGTTTTCCCTTGTGTTTCTCATTCTTTCCCTGCCATGTCGTAAAATGTGGTGAAGCCATTGCTGTATTTGCTCCAAAGCAAATGTCGGCCTTTCTAGTTAGATACAAAATTCTCGACGGTACTCACACTTTGCTTGCAGTAAAATACTTCCCGTTTCTTGCGTTCCAAAGTTCTTTGCCACGCAGGTGTAGTTTCCTATGTCCAGCTTCGACATGTTTTTCAGAACGATGGAGGACCTGTAGAAATCCAAGCCTTGGTAGTAGTCTTTAGGTATGCTGTCCGGGAGAGGGCGGCCGTCCTTAAGCCAGCTAACGGAGTCTACGATCGAGTTGCTCTTGTCCACAGTGCAGTTGAGAACGATGTCAGTACCAAGAGATACGAGATAGGGGCTCCCAACCCCCATATCTACAATAGGAGGCACTGCAACACAGAAATATGTCAAAGTGTTTCTATCTGAAACGTGAGAATTTGTTAATCAGTGGCACATGAATACTCTCCAAGCAGATCGTTTTTTTTTGTCTCTACCACCACCAAGGTGGTGGTAAAGAGCAAAAAACGGACCATATATAAAAAGCAAACGATCTTCCACCATCAACCTCTGCTTGGAGAGTAGCACATGAACGGCTCAGTTACATTCCTTGTTTGACGTTGTACGATTTTGATGTAGGAGTTCAAAAAGGTCGTGCTAGACACTCTTTTTTCCGTAACAAGGATTTGAATTCTGTAGAACCCTAACACGAAATTCCTGAGTTGGCGATCATACGACGATAATATGGATGAGACGGGGCTCTTAAAGATTCTCCAAGTCCACAAACTTTGACTCATAGCCTAGACTTTGCCCGTGACTTCGCTATCATCGTCTTCCTTCTACTGCTCTCAGAATAAGCATTCAGGACAAATATTGATGGATTGGGACCGCCATAGGCCAACTACCATCGCCAGGAAAGGCACAGCATGTGTTCAAAACACCCTCCTGCAGGCGTGCACAACTCCAGAAAGGTCAACAGGGTCGTTGCCCCCATCCGCCCATTAGAGAATACTGAGAGGAACTTGACTCCATAAGGAGTTTAAAGCCTTGACCAATGACGAATGTCGTAAATCTTCGGTTGGCGACCATAAAACTGACTCCGTAAGTAGTTTACATGTACGGCCAATGACAAATCTCCTACAGGTTATGTTGCTTGAAAATGAAGGCGATCGAGGGGAGTCAGTTACTTACTGATGTACGGTTTGGAAAGAACCCGTTCAGTTGCAACACAAAATGATGTTTAATCAAAATAAATGATGGTTAATAAAAATAATTCAGTATGTAAATGTAAACATCGATGGCAACATCCAACTGAAGTCCATATTTGCTACACTTTCTGGTGTTCTTACGATACGCTGTTACGTTATCTTTTTTGTTACTTTCAGGCAGCAGCATACATAATTATACATAACTACATTTCTTAGGTTTTTTTTTTAAATCATCCCAAATTACGTAGCATGGTGGCAATGGTGAGGCCTGTCTTTGACTGTCTTAAACAGTCAACTAGAGTCTTTTAGCTCTGATTGGCGCATATGCCTCCGCCAATTAGATATGGAAGGTCAATGTGTAATCCTTAGATTGCATTTTTCTCGTCAATCAGTCATAGAGGTCACTCAAGTTCAATAACTTTTTTATAACCTGGTCAGCATTAGTATTATTTAATATCTTAGGTCAGAGGTCAGGAAGAGGGCAGCCATGTTTTTTTAGATGTGGGAACTGGAAGGATCGGAAATCGGTAATAATTTTCTTCTAAATCAAACCTTCCAGTTCTCCTTTTGTATCTTTTACTAGATGACTCATCATAGAGTCGTAATGAAGTGTCATTTTATAACTAGAAACGATTTTAATGCTTAAAAACCCCACTTTGTCACCATCTCGGTAAGTGGGAGGGGGGTGCCACTTGTTCCGACCTCTGACGTCTCTGCATTACTTTTGTATTTGAACAAATTGATATTCCATTGATTATTTTTTACCTACTGTTTGTAAACTGTGTCAGTTAGATGGTTTTTCCTGAGGACTTTGAGATTGTAATATATGACTTTGTAACTACATGTAATTAAGCGCCGGGTCAGCGGCAGCTACATGTTCGCACTTGTTCTAATTTGAAGTTTTCAGTGTTTGTTGAGTTTACTATTTCTTATTTAAGTTGCCCTCAGGAGTGTTTAATATGTGCTATGCAAATTGTTCTTCTGTGAGGTTTAGAGGAAACCGAGGAGGGTTTGCCAGAAAACAGAAGCACTGTAAAATTAAACCACTGATAACTGATAGACCTGTAAAATATGTTAACTACTGTAATGATGTGCACAGGAACAAAGTGCTTCATAAGATTCAGTTAGAACCAGCAGTAGCTGTGAAAACTGCAGAACATAGAAGCAGGGCCCTTCCTAGCTTACTTCTGTCAAATGTCCGCTCGCTTACTAACAAAAAACATGAGTTAGAGGCCACTTTGGCCTGCCACTCAGTTCAGATAGCCTGTATAACTGAGACGTGGACTACACCTCTGATTCCAGATGAAGTTTTGTCGATTGAGGGTTACAAACTGTTCAGAAAGGATAGACAACATGGTAAAGGTGGAGGTGTAGCTTTGTTTGTTGCTGATGCTATACCAACCAGAAGATTGTACGACCTCGAAGCCGATGCTCTAGAGGTTCTGTGGCTACAGGTTAGACCCAAGTGGCTACCTAGAACTGTCCCAGTACTTTTTATTGGAGTGGTGTATCACCCTCCATGCAACAACGACAAAACAGGGTCTGCCGCCATGCTTGATTACCTCATTAACTCTTTCGACACTCTCTACCGTAAACAACCTCATGCTGGTCTCCTGTTATGTGGTGATTTCAACAAACTACCACTCCAGGGTTTGGTCACCGTTCATCCTCACCTGAAGCAAACAGTAAAGCAGGCCACACGGGGCTCTGCTACGTTGGACATGATCTTTACCAACCTGACCCAACACTACAACGACCCACTCATTCTTGCACCAGTCGGAACCAGTGACCATTCCAGTGTCCTTCTCCGACCCTGTAAGTCGCAACCTGTTAGCAACAAGGCAGTCAAGGTTGCCCGGAGGGTGGTTACTGCAGTAGGGAAGGTGAACCTTGGTCTCTCTCTCGCCACAACAGATTGGTCACCTGTCTATAGCAAGGTTTCTGTTGAGGAGAAGGCCAACACGTTCTACAGTTTGACCAGGGCACTGGTTAACCAGCACCTCCCGGTGAAAGTCGCGTCAGTCAGGGCCTGCGATAAGAAGTGGGTTACAGAGCGAGTTAAACGCGTCATCAGGAGTAGAACTGCTGAGTTCAAGCGTCATGGAAAATCTGTTAAGTGGAAGCGCCTCCGAAACCGAGCTCAGACCATCATTAGACAAGCAAAGCACTGGTACTACAGGAATTTCATCCAGTACCTGAAACAGGAAAACCCACGCAAATGGTGGAGCTTCGTGAATCGTGAACTTGGCAGGTCTCAGGAGAGAGCAAGACGCATTACCATTGAGGGTAAACCGGATCGCGAAGTGGCTGAAGCCCTAAATCAGCACTTCTCCGAGGCGTGGTGCCCTGGAAATGACCTGCACTTGTTTCCACTCCAACGTCCTGCCAAAGCAGTTGAGCTGTGCACGATTGGAGAGGTTAAGGCCCTGCTTAAGAGCTTAAACTCCACCAAAGCTAGCGGGCCAGACGACCTCCCCACATGGACCATGAAGCAGTACGCCGAGGACTTGGCTCCTGTCGTTACCCACCTGTTCAATGCCTCATACGAGCAGGGATTAACACCAAGCATCTGGAAGGCAGCGAATGTTGTACCCATCCCGAAGGCCAGGGGAGCAGCCAACCCGAGCGACATGAGGCCTGTTTCGCTCCTCCCCATTCTGGCCAAGCTACTGGAGAGGTGTGTCCTCAAAAGACTCTTACCTGCCATCACCCCGGTGATCACCAACCAGTACGCTTACCTGAAAGGTTCCTCCACTGTCCTCGCTGCCATCAGGATGGTGCACACGTGGCTGACAGCCCTCGACTCAAGAGAGC